TCCACAGGGACCGCCTCTCCATCGTGCTCTCTATAAACTAATAATGAAGAGACACGGTATTTTTGACTCTAATAAATAATGTACTAAAATGTCTTGAACATTTTAGTACGATGAATGGTAGCGGCAATTCTAGACTATGTTTCTGAATGCCGCATACTAATTTCTTGTTAGTAGCCCGCTACTTTCTTAAACATTAATCTTACTTCTTCATTTACCGAGTCCACCACATGCTCTTCTTCTTTTACCAAGTCCACCACAAGCGTCTTCTCCTTCTACACTCAAGACTTCCTCTCCACTATGGCCGCCTAGACCACTCTACTTTTGTCCTCACTCCGTACTGTACTACCCTAACAACTCTGCGCAAATCATCCCTCCAACAGGTTATCAGCCCAGCGCTTCGCCAGGGTACTGACGAGCTGAAAGCGGCAAGACGATGCGCCTCCAAGCCCCAAGGCTCATGAAGGAGATCGGAGAGAAAATCGCCCGACGGACACCAACTCGCGTGAGGCCACGTTGCCAACTTGGCTCCAGCCACTGTGCTGTAGCACAGCATGCGTAGTTATTCGCCATGCTGGGAGGTCATGAAACCCCCGCGCCAGCCATGTAGCTGTAGCGCCGCACGAGACGCATACATTCCGTGCCACACCGGCCATTGCCGAGTTGTGAGGCCATGATGCCAGACCAGCCATAGCGCTGTCTGGTTGAAAAGCCGTACTAGAAGGCCACAGTGCCTTGTGCTCTACGTACATGTACGCGTACACGTACACGTACACGTACACGTACACGTACACGTACACGTACACGTACACGTACACGTACACGTACACGTACACATACACGTACATGCATTTGATGATGTACAAGTACATGTAGTACATATTTAAGGCGAAGAACTAAATACCGCCCTCACGCACCAGCAGCATTGCTGTAGTGTCACGCCATACTGGGAGGCCAAATGCCCCACTTGCGAGCTATAAAGCTGTGCAAAAAATATTCCAGCTACAAGCTGTGTATTGACTACTAGTATATGTGTACTTAATGAGATACCATTTTAAATATGTGCATCTCGAGCTACAAGGCCGAATTGCACAGCTAAAACCTCGCTTAATGCAAAGCTGCAGCAGTCTACTAAATGCAGATCTACGGCTTGTTGAGAACAGGTAATCCACTACATTTTGGACCTGTAAAATAAAAATATACCTTAAAAAAACAAGAAAGAGATAAAATGAAAATGGGCAATTGTCCATACAAACATGTGTCTGGTATTTGACCAAGTTAAGAAATACGCCCAGAAATGTATGAAACTGGGAGGCAACAACGCCGAAACAATTCATTCAATTCGCCAAACTTAAAAAAATTATTGCGGCAAAAGTTTCAAACATTTCCAGCATAAAGAAAAAATCTTCAATACTTTATGACTTTAAGACAAGCCTACACAAGCCTCTGTCTACAGAAAGCAACTATAGTTTTACTGCATTAGTTTCATTTTCAATGGAATCGATAGTTTACAAACCTATTGCTTGCACTTGCGAAGTATAAACAAAATAAAAATCTTCGAAATGAGAAACAACTCCATGAGCCTCTAGGGAGAAAAATAGCCCCAACGATGAGAGCCTGCAAACAAGATGCGTACACTACCGATGACACTGTTAGATCTTTTTATGCTTTGAAAGCTGTAGCCTTTCTTCAAAAATATTTGAAAACTATAAGCTCTCAATAATAATAGTCAGAACAAATTGAAAATGACTGCAGCACCTATATCAACCATTTCATGAAATTGGGAGGCAATTCTATAAGACCTCAGCAGCGAAAAACAAAAAACAAACCACACATTGTAAAGAAATATCCACATATTAAAGAGCAAAACAATGGCAGTTTAAGAAATGAACAAAGCTAAAACGCTTACACAAAATATATAAAGATAAATACGGTGATCAGGTGTATCCTCGAAGGTTTCCTGAGTAGCCAACAACAGAGCGAACAGGTTTTGATCCTTAAAATTAAAGGTTTTCCTGAGGTAGCTTCTACAAATTCGTAAAGCTAAAACGATAACAGCAACAATTCAGCGAACAGGTTTTGATCCTTAAAACTAAAGGTTTCCCTGAAATAGCTGCTACAAATTCGTATAACTAAAACGATAGCAACAACAATCACTACGGTGAGCAGGTTTAATCCTCTAAGGTTTTCCTGAGTAGCCAAAATAACAATGAAAACAAGAAATCAGAACAGTTATTGCCAAAGCAAAACAGCACGAGGCGACAAATCTGACAATGAAAGTCAAAGGAAAAAGATCATCAATATCAATACAAGATCTACTTCTTGTAAATGCTCATGTACGTACAGGACTGTTATAACAGCCACCTGTGGTAGCTATCCGACAGATAGAGCATCATACACATTCCTCGATGTGGGAGGCTGTCGAAGTAAGCATCTCCGATGTGATGATGACTATCTAGTGAAATATAACTGTACTATTTTATATATAGAGAAATCGTAGTCGAAGGTAACTGCTTTGGGGCAGCCATTGTAATGAGATGCACGGCGATAGTAGGGTCCATCCGGGCCACCTGCGCCGACCGAGACATGATCCTCAAAGCTGGCGTTAAATAACTGAGCCTCGAGCCAATCTGCCTGGTCTCCACAAGTATCCTGAATGACGCCGACTGAGCGAGAATGAAGCGTTGCAATACCCAAAGCTGGCTGTTGAAGCACCGAAATTTGTTGGTGTCGTGGCCTTGACGTGCGTGTCCTTGACGTGCGTGTGGCTGGTGCGGTGACAGTAGAATGTAAATTGTGATGTGAGACTACGAGATCAGCTCGATGAGCCCCCGAGCTGCTGATTGATCCTATACCGCGCGCGGACCATAGAATAAGACCTTATGCCGTC